TGTAAAAAATGCAAGTAGAAAAATAGGGACCACCTTTGGTGGGAAGGGAACAGCGTTCCGTGTACCTTTGGCATTTAGTCATGACCACATGACCACGGAGACGTCTTTGGACAGCGCTGGCTCTTTGAAACAGAGATGAGCACCGCCCCCTAAAGTCGGGAACGATTAGCACATGTGTGTGAGGGGAAACTTTACCTTTACCTTGAGAAGCATTTCCTTGGTTTAAGCAATGTAATGGAAAACCTCCAGATCACTGCCCCACCTCCAGGCTAGCCTTCTAACAGTCTTTTTTAGAGCAATGTCATAGGCTAGATCCAGTTTTTTTTCCTATCTTGCATTTATAAAGAAAAGAAAAAAAGGGAACAAAGCAAACATTTCAACCATCCTCTTCCCACTTATTCCAACCCTTTGGGATCCTTAAAGCCAGATTAATCTTGTGACTGTTGGGTGTGTGAGTTTGGGGGCACCGTACTGACAGCCTGCTTAAAGTTTCACCCCCAGAGGATGAAGAGACCAAGGACTGTGCTGAGAAGCTGGCTCGGTTTGTGGCCGACGGGGGCCCCGTGGTGGAAATGGTTGCCCTGAAAAACCACCGAGAGAATCAGTCATTCAGGTAAAGGGGGCTGGTAAGAAGGGAGGCCCTGGCAGAGATGCCAGCTTTTCAGATTCCCAAATGATTTTTAAATGCTGAAAACCACACTTTTTTTTTTTGGATGATCTGTCTCAGGACTGGAGCTTTCTTCTTCACTGGTTTCAGGGTATGTAGGGGCAAAAAAAAAAGAGTCAGTTCCTGTTCTCCCAAATCTGGACATTTGACCAGTCAAATCTTGGTTTGATTCAGATTGAACATCTAAACCCATCCTCTCTGTTTTTATGTGCATTTACTATAGATAGATAAATGATTTAAACCTGGATTTCAAGCCTGAGCCTGATCTTGTATCCCGGTGTGTCATCTTAGTTTAAATCTGATGATTTGAGCAACTTTCTGTGGAGAATATGGGAAAGAGTTCCTGAAAACGAAGTCAAGCCACAAACCTGTTTTCAGTGGGAAGTGCAAACTCCTATTGCAGTTGTCTTTATCTTCTGATGTATTTCCCTGAAAATAAGACAGGGTCTTATTTTCTTTTGATACCCTCCCCCCATAAGCGCTTGGCCTTATTTTCGGGGAGGTCTTATTATTTTGAGGTGCAGGAGTTGGCGAGCATGGTCACTTCATGGCTGTATTTTGGGGAGGGCTTATTTTGGGGGGAGGGCCTATTTTAATGCATGTGCTCAAAAGTCCGATTGGGCTTATTATCCAGAAGGTGTTATTTTTGGGGAAACACGGTAAGACACTTCAGATTTGAATTTGGAAAAAATGTGGAGGTGGGGCTGTATGTGTGTATTGCAGACTTGGCAATTCCTGTAATGGAAATAGGTACGCAAAAGCTAGCAGCCCTTTTCATCAAGGGAGGGAGGGAGGGAGAGAGAGAGAGAGAGAGAGAGAGAGAGAGAGAGAGAGAGAGAGAGAGAGAGAGATGCCCTCCTGAAAATAGCTAATAAGCTG